GCTGCAGAGCCCTATCTAGTGCCTGCCGAAGCCTTTGTGAAGGCCCATGGCACTGACAGATCCCTACATCCAGACACTTTAAAACGTGCGTTGTCCTCAGCGAGTAAGAAAATGCTGCAAGCTGCATTTCCATAACACTGGTGCAGAATCTTAGAGCAGCCTATTCAGAATATTTTCTATCTTCCCTACTCAAAATATCAGTGTAGGCCAATGACAAACTTCATTTTCTGCAATACATGTAAATATAACATTGTACATTTGTTAATAAGAAGAAAATGAGTTTGAAATCTCTGTGAAATGTGAAAAGAAAATAATCACACAGTGCTTCAGTAATGGAGGGCTCCGAGAGGTGTTCTAATGCTACAGCTGTCAACATCTCTGTACATGCAAATATCCTACTGTCAGAATTTAATAGGGTGAAATAGGTTTTCATTTTAGATGAACAAGAATTCCAATTATAATCTCTTTCAATTCCAGTTACTGTGCTCTGGGTCAAGGTATTTAACAGCAATTCAGTGTGCAGCATAAGAAAGTCCTTTGCATGTTATTTGAATTGCAGTACTAGTTACAGCATGATGCTATGGATACAATAGGGTAGGCAAGGCATTTCCATTAATGCCCCTCTGTTGTTTTTATGTTACTTTTTTTAATGCGTCTTTTAAGCAAGCTTCCATTTATCACTTTTATTCTTAATCCAGAAGTCGATTTGTCATTGATAATTGGTAGAAGTCCTACCTGGCTAATTTAGAGCTCTCCTGGATTTTAAAAATGGAGATTTTTCATTACATAACGAAAAACAGCCATGTTCCCTTTTTTAATGTTTCTGATATATGGGTAGATAGAACACTTAATAGTCTGAATGAACTGTGAAATACATAACTGTAAGCATAAAGTTTCACTTTTATTGTATTTCTGAAGGCAATAGTTTTACTGGAAAAAATGACGTAGTTGGTATCAGAGTTAGTAAACTGTTTCCTAAATTGTATATGTTTGTCAGTTGGATCCTGACAAATCTGTTTTGCAAGAGAATGTTCATGCACTGAAGTTAATAAAACCCTGCCCAGGCTTTATGGATTTCTTGGCGTATTGAGATTAAAATCACAATTTAAATATTTTAAAGAATTCAGTGTCTAAAAATAAAACACTTATATTTGAATTCCCTTTTGTAGTAGTTTGGAATTGTAATTAAAGTTGATTATCGATTTCTGTTTGCAACTGGATTTCAGTTCCTACACTACTTGTTAAAAATTGTATTGCTTTTTAGCAAGATAGGCTAATTTATTCCATTCAGATTTGTGCAAATGTAAAATAGTACGTATGTATTTCAATTTACTCATAGTCATGAGTTTTACAAACTAAAGAATCAGTCCTGGAAATGCACAGATGCCTAAAGTGAAAAGGTTGACATCCGAGACAGTTAAGACAGGAAGAAAAATTATTCCATTTCTCAAATGGAGCCTCTATACTGAAAAGTAACTTTGGTGTGATATCTTCTTATACCAAAGGCATATTCCCTGTATACAGTCAAATTAATTCATGCTTATGGTAGTTTTTGGTAAGGCTTTGAAGAGTCAGCATAGCTGATAGTAATTGTCTGTCAGTAACGTGTTTGATTGCTGCTGCCTCTATACTTAAGCTTGTCTGTATCACTGAGGTGGTGAACAGTTGTCCGTTAGAGCCCCATATGGAGACTGGAGAGTACTGAAGGTATAACAGAGTGCTTAATGGTTAGAACAAAGCTTGACTCATAAATTGACTCACTGAATGTGAAATATAATTTTACTTGTAAATTAAGAATATGTAGTATAAAAGTTACTGAAAAGCACTAATCAAAATGTTGTGTCTCTCTTTTCTCTGAAATTCCTTCTAGAATTAAAAAGTCTGTTATTGCAGTTTGAATTATTAGTATTAGAATTATTATATATTTATATGTGAACAGCAACAGAAAGCAATCTGTTTAAGAAAATCTGTATACCGACCAAGGACTTGTCTTTTATAAATGTCTTCATAGGTTTGCAAAGGCCTGTGGTTTGCAGAGTTTAAAAAAAAAAAAAAGTCAGTACTGTTTATTGCATATGTATCTATTTTAATGGTCTGCTATCTTTTTAAAAACATGTGAAATACAATACCTATAAAATAATATACCACAAAATTATCTTAAATAATACTCTTATATACTTTAATCTATGAAATATTTCATAAAATTCAGACCTGAAAAAATAATCCGTATCTGTGCTCTGTGATTAAAAATAGCAGTGGGATGTATTTTGGTCACGAACTAAAATGAAATTCAGCAGTCTGTCAACACTGTTGATCTATTTCTGAATGCTATTTAATCTGGTAATGAAAGACACAGTGTCTTCTTCCTCCCCCCGCCCACTTAACTGGAACAATTTTTTCAGGTGCTAAGCACCTGTGGCTCCAGATCAAACTGTAACTGCCTTGTCTAGTATAAATTGAGAATTCTGCAGCAATCAAAAATGCTCTTCAACAATTCCCTTTTATTGCGGGAATGACCGTCTGCCCTTGTAAGCTCTCACAGTGCTATTTTAGGATAGTTTAACTAGTTAGCTTTGGAATGATCGGAACACATCTTAAGAGCACCATAAGCACTGACCTAAAGCAAGTGCACTTAACTCTAGCACTGACGTGCTAGTAGATTATTCAAAATCACATTATATTTGCTTCAGAGGAAAAACTTCAGAGCAAATAATGTGAATGAACAGCGGAAGTGGCATTTAAAGCACAGTCGCAGACTTTAATTCCAGATTAAGCTTTGCTGTCTGAATGCCGTGCACTCACTTTCTTAACGTAAAAAGATCCTGTCTATCTCTTTACTTTAGTTGATTGCTGGAACTTAGCAAAAATGCTCACTGATAGGGTGAGATAGAAAATAAAGTGCTGCAGATCAGTGCAGTCAGAATTCGGAACATATGATGACTTGTGTCTCTGAGAAATTATCCCTTTATGTGTTAAAATGGGGTTTGGGGCATAGAAATTTCTTTTTAATGGGTAATGGCAGCATTCTTCATTTGATAGAGAAATAAATTTGAAAGCAGAGGTTTTTTTTCACAAAATGAGTGTTCAATTTGTCCCATAGTAACTGAATGCCCGACTTGGCTATGTTGTGCTCACATCCAGTCTAAAATTATCATGAAAAATGCAAGTGAAGCTGAGCGCAGAAGCTTTTGCTGGTTTACCTTCCTCCTTCCACTCCCCGTCTGGGGCTTTCAAGTTAAGGCATGAACACATTGAGTTTATTTGAAGAAGAAATTAATATTAAAGTAAGAGCCAACTAAACACAGAATGTGTCAAAGAGAGGAAGTTGAGAAAGCTGATGTACCTACTAGGACTAACTGCGCTATGAACAACTAAAACACAGCGAGCTATCTCAGCACAGATAGCCTCAGGAGTCTAAAAAGCAAAAAATCCTGCATCATATGCTTTCGTTTATGATATAAATGTTAGTATTTCTTCTTGCTTTCCAGTAGAGTTTGTATGTGCCATTCCTCAGCAACTCCCATTTAAGCTGCTCTTGGATTTCTTGCAGAGAATGGGGAGAGTCTGAATGGACATGCTGCCCTGAATGGATGCTCCAGTGCTTTTCAGTGATCACTTAGGGGATATGGAGAATCGCTGTAAGATGCATGCAGCATAGCCTCTCACCAAAGGTGACAAAATGGCACATTTCTGGGGCTGAACCTGTTTATGCTAATAATAGATGCTATTTTTGTTCTGAGCTCAAGTGTCTAGTAATGAGGTATTTCGGTTACTGTGTTTTTGCTGTGGCCAAGTTCAGGTTAAAAAGTTTGGCAGTGTTCTTTGTGTGCTTTTCAGCGCTGGCTAAAAGAAAAATCAATGTGACAAACTGTAGGTTAAAGTAAAATTAAATCTAGATTATGATATTAGTGTTAAAGAATTTCTGCATCATTCATACACGCTTTAGAAGTCTGTATGAAGTCCTGTACGCAGACTCCAGGGTCTCTCTTTAATGTGGGCCTTCCAAGCCAAACTGTAACGTATTAAGAATGGCTATTGTATCTCTGTTAAGCCTTTACATTTTAAGTGCGTGTTCTTTTGCAAGGGTGTAAGTCTTCACTTGCTTATGTCAACCACATTGAACCATTGTAAGTCTCTGCATATAGCTGCTCCAGATTATGTTTTAGTCTAATGAGAAGATTTGCATTGTTCTGGCTCTCTAATTTGATATAAGAAGTTGCAAGTAGTTAACAGATATGTCCTTTAGGGGTTTAACTTGGCTGTGTGCATGGTCTTTTTTGAGAGAGCACTTGCAACTCTTTTTTTTCCCTTTAGTGGAAACAGTGACTACTCAGGGCCTTTGAAAAGCAGGCCATAAATCTACTCCAAAATAGCCATGATCCTGAGAAGCCCATTTCTTGGCATAAATCAGAACTTTTAACAAAGGAAAGGTGATTATCTCTCTGAAAATGTTCCAGTGTACAATTAGGGACATGGGGTTTTTTTTTTTTGAATGTTTAGAGAATCAGAATGATTTTGATCCTGGAATAAGCCACAGCACACCTCTAAGCTGCCTTCTCCCTGAAAACATCACTTCAAGCTTAGTAATACCAAACCTTGAGAAACAGAAGCATTTAAAACTTAAAGCTTTTCTGGCTAGTCCTGAGTGCTACTAGGATTCAGTGGCTTCTTTTTCCCATCCCTGAGCCTATTTTTCTTTGCAATTCTTATTTATAGTAATGTGCTCAGTAATAGCAGGCCTATTAAGGAGGTTATTACAGTGATGGAGTAATTTTCATTTGAGCTTACTCAGAGGAGAATGCAAATACCTATAAATAAGGAAAATTCACTTTCTTCATCTATCCTTGCAGAGACATTTAAAAGCCAAAGACACAAATGAGAGTGGAGGATATGCAGACAAAAGGTGTTTTTGTTTACTCAGAATCATGAGCTTCTGCTCGACAGAGCACTGGAAACAACAAAGGAGTGCAATTAACTGGAGAAGAGAATGAGGATGGAAAGTTGGAAAATGAACACAATTAGGTAAATGTTGTTATTGTTGGAAGAAGTCTGTAATCTCCATGTTACTGACTCTTTGCGTCTTTGCATTGTCCCTTTTCTTGAACCTTAACGTTGATAAAATTGCCATTAGCAGTTCCAAGGAATGTGCAAACCTTATCCTTTCTGTGAGAGTTGGTTTTTAAGATGTAACAAGGCTCGTTAGTATGGATTCTTAGGTACCAAGAACTCTTGTAACATCATAACAATCCTGATGAATTGACCTGCATTCCCTTCAGAGTGGAGGGAACACCAATACTTATTATCTGGTTTTGGAGGGTTTCCAATGCGATAGCTTTGTCCCATTTTTCAGTGTGTTTTCTATTGCATACTAAGGATACTAAGGATTTGAGTAACATATGCCTAAGTGATTGCAAGCCCCAGTGGGATAAAATTAAAACCTCCTAAGTCTGAGATCTCTAGAGCTCCGTGCTTTAGACTGGTGAGGAAGAATCTCGAAAAGCTGATCAACATGACAGGACACAGATGACACCAGAACTTGTCAAAAAGATGTATCAGAGTCTGCTGCTGTTCAGGAATAATTGTCTTGAATTCATTAGGAGTTTCTCTTGATAAAGTCTTTTCAAACAGGATTAAAATGGAAGGATAGGTAGAGGATAGAAGTAAAGGATCTAACTGTTTGACTTCTGCTCTGAAAATCTCAAAGACATGCTATCCTTTTTTACTGGTGGGTAATTTGTGGTCCTGTCTAATGATAGCTCCTTGATACCTATTATGCACTTTTTGTAACGTGGCTGAAAAGCTTGAGCAGTATGGCAGGAGCCTGTAATCAGTAGTTCACAGAGCTCCAAAAATCAGGAAAATGAGGACTACCCTTTGTGCTCAGAGTAGCTGGTGTTGCCCATTTTGAGATGTATTGATACAGAGCAGGTTTAAGACCATTGGCAGGTCTTGTGGTTTGGGGGGATTTTTTTTCTGTTTCTTTTGCTTCAGGCTTCATATGTACAGTGACAAGGTGATAAACTCCACACAGCGGAAATCCACCCACTCCCCAGTACTGTTGCCAGCAGTGACCATCAGGAGGAAAATCACAGACTCTTTTTTAACACTTATGGTAAAAAGTAGTTGCTACATTGTTTATATTGTTCGGAAATATATTACATACGGGTCAGTGACAGGGGCTAAGTGCTGCTTAGCTCATGGCAACCCAGTACTTTAGGAAGATGCACAGGAAAAAAGAGATTTTTAGGCTGTAGTTTTAGGAGCTGCACAGATTTGCAGTCCAAAAATCTGATGTGGGCAATGCTTGTAACATGGGATTTCTCATACTGGTCTTCTGCCTTTATGTGACAGCTCACAGACTTTTCTGGAGTTCTTGATATAGTCGGGAGTCTTTCCTAGCATATCGAAATGTGAAACTGGGACAGTACACTCAAATGCTGGTTGTTGGTCTCTGTATCTGTCTGTAGCATGGCTTCAGTGCAGTTGGGAAACACTTGAATGTCACTGTCTTCTCAGCAGTTAGATAGTGTGGTTACTAGAATGTTTCTTTAACTTCCTTTTAAAAACAATCTTTTTCAGACTCCCCTGTTCTAAAAAACAGATAAAATTTTTTAACTGTATCTAGCTTTTAAAATCTTTGAAGGTGTATTTGGTAAAAGATGATGTTGCATCTCCCTCATAAAGGTATTCTTTTTGGATGGATGTTTACTCTGAATTGATGAAACTACGCAGTGATTATTTAATGCTGCTGAATGAGCAAAGATTGATGAGTTGGATATGAAGGCATAGTACCATTCTTCTCTGAAAGCTTATTTCGGATCAAATTCCTCCAATTCAGTGTAAAAAGATGACTTGATCAGCTTGTAGAGGAGCCATAGCTTAATTGTTCATAACGAGACAGGGAGTTGTGTGATGGAAGCATCTCTGTGTGTGAGAGAGGGGAAGGAGGGAGGGATTTTAGCTTGTTTAAAAAATAGAATGCATCATTAATCCAAATATGACAGTAGCATAAGCTGGGAGAACTGTCTTCCAAATAGCATACCATGAGCCTGCTTTGTTTGCTACTCTTTACCAGCTGCAGTCACATTTTTGGCTTACTGCTGGTTCATTTCCTGGAGCTGGAATGGACCAGTTGCTGCCTCTGCCAGAACAAGCATTGCAGGGAAAGACTACCTAAAAAAACATCCACTGAAAGAATAATCTCCTTGGATGCAGCATAAGGGGAATGAAGGGGCAGAGAGATGCCAGTTCTCCACGGTTACCAGCTAAATCTGAACAGCTTGGAGGTTGTTATATCCAATAAGGAGCACAAATAAAACGTTCCTCCTTGCTCCTGAATGCCACTTAGGAGCGCAGAAACGATCTGACATGGGAGCCAATGGTATTTCTGTGCAGTGTCACTCTTAGGCCAGTTTTGCTGGTACAGCTGGGCCAGATCAGTTAGAGAATCTGACCTGCATTAAATTTTGGCTCATGCTTCTCAGACTGGAGAAGGAGGAAGTAAAAAAGTAAAAAATTTATAAGAAGTGATGACTCTCACAGAGACTTCTGCCTAGAGTCTTAGAAAGAGATCTCTGTGGTTTTTATTGACGTGGTGAGGCTAGCAGAAGAAAGGATTTGATTAGAAAAATCTGGCTGCTCAGTTACTGTATTTTTAAAAATTAAAAAGTATCGCAGAGCAGGTTACCTTTTTATTCTTGTTAGGCGTGGTCTTCAGAATGATCATCTATTTTGCTTCCCTTCTTTAGAAGCTAGACACAAAGATAGTTACAAGAGATACCTAATAACTTTGTGTATTTGTATCTGTCACTGTACTGTTTTGCATACATGGCAATTTCCCTATTTCCATGCATAATGTTTTTCCTTTAAATACCCTGTAAGGTTTTTTTTTTTTTTTTTTTTAGATAACAAACAGGTTGTGTGCAAGAGAGTGTGAAAGCTAACAGATGTGAGGCAAGGAACAATTATGCATAAGGAACGTGTGAAGAAATATACATAGATATACAGGAAGTTTTTAAAGAAACTGAAAATAAATATAGTGGAAGCAGAAGAGGCTGAGCTGCTGCCAGGCGGGTACTTATATAATTGATGTGCTTGTCTGTCTATGCGGCTGCTTTTTCTATTGTTTGATGGATAGATTCGCTAATGAGGTAGGTCTCAGTCCCAAAGTTTGGTCTCCTGTTCAATGTGTAAGCTTTAGATATACTTAAACGGTTCTATGAGGAATATGTCAGCAGTCTTTTGGAAAATGAAACGCAGCTTTCTCTGTGTCTTACTGATTTCTGGGCCA